TATCTATATCACTTTGTATTCTTTTCAAAATTAATTTAAAGTAGTCAAAGTTATGTTTTATACTTCTGATGTTCATATGATAAATTCTAACAGATATTTCAGGATTTTGTAAAAAAGAATCTAGCTCGCTAGTATCATGAGCAGTATTAGTACTAATACGTTGAATTTGGAAGTTATTTACATAGTCGTGTGTCATAAATGATGCAATATTCTAAAATTTTGGCTAAAATTTCTTCTTTCTTAAAAAAGGATTTTCAAGTTGTACTGCTGTTGATAATATAGAAAAGTTTGATAATATAGAAAAAGTATATATATACATATCACGCTTCCCTACTACAACTATAGATAACCGGCATTGGCTCCATTCTAACCGCAAACATTAATTATTTCTGTGAAGCTGTATAATGCATTTTAGCTCTTCAGTGATACGGTTACTTGAAGGGTTCTACGTGGAATCATTCAGTCATAGTGTAATTTTAGTTACAATAAAACCTTAATACCAAAACATAACCTATGTATAATGAACCTAACCAATTAAGAGGTTTACAAATTGATTGTTTCTGTTGACCTATTAGGCAGCAGCGGTGGCCGCAGTAGTAGACTCTTCGGTCTCCTGATCAGTCGCCGTGCGCTGTGCGGGTTCGAGTCCCGTCCCAAGAGAAATGTTTCTCTTGGCTATGGATGTTGTGATTGTCCGTAGGTGGTAGACAGTCTCTGACTGTCGACCACGGTGGTACCACCCGGCGGATCTCGTAGGCGGAGCCAGAATGTGTGCATGTTGCATGCACACGTGTTCCCTCGCCAGAGTCCGTGTGGCGTTCCCCCTTTCCCCTGTATCCCCTATAGCCCCACGGTACCCAATGGGTGTTTAGGCCTTAGGCGTTCGTGGTAGTTGGAGTATAAAAAATATATAAAAAAAGGAAGTTCATCACTAACTTCAGGACAATCGAATGTAATGAATAACTATTCCAGCCATTTGCTAGAGAAAGGTACAATGAGCCCTAGAGTCTGCGGTGCTATCGGGGACTTTGGTCGGACGGCTCTCGGAAAGGATACAAAAGTCATTAAGATAATCGCCCTTGCTTGACTGGTTAATAAAATCACATTTACTGACAGATCTTCTCTACTGTAGTAAACATTTCAATCACAAAGGTGGCGTTCGTCAATACAATGACAACATTTGTTTTGATTTCTGTCATGGTACTAAGATTGACCACGTTAGCTGCAGTAAAGAGGATATGTTGATACATGTGGTTTTGTTGGCCAGACAAGCATGTTGTATCGACATGTGAATCACAGCATAAGTTTCAGATGGTGCATTTAGCTATATAGCTTCTGCTAAATCGGGGCCTGATGAAAATATTTTGATACTCACAAGACACGTTGGTAGATAGTGGTTTGGGCAACGGTGTATAAAATCCTTCGCGCAGGATTTCATGGTCAAAAGAGAATAAAGGCAAATAAAATTCAATCCAGATGCTTCACAATGAATATAATGAAATACTATTCATTTGATATTATTGATCATTCTGTTATCTCGGTGGTATATATGACATTTGTCCTTGATTCACTGGCTGATGTTGAGTCAGTCGAATTTGTCAGTCTTGGATGCCCTGAAAGCCTGAAATCACCCAATAATAACAAAAAGGAGAGCGAGAAGAAAGAGTGAAAGAAAGAAATGTACATTTTGAAATGTTAAGCGGGATCAGATATACTTCAAATGACTCCGTATTCGGTTCTAGCGAAAATACGTACGATACTGGTCATTTAAACAGCCTTGAAAGAATTTTAATTTCCAGTAGCCATCCATAGGGGTATTAACAAAAAGGGGAAAAAATTGTTAAAGACGAATCCAAGCCCACTCAGTTCGTAAACGCTCCGATTTCGAGATGCTGACAAGAATACTACTTCTCAAAAAACGACTAAAGAAAATCTTCAAATATTGTTGCGAGTCTAAGATCTGGATACATGCTTGTCTTTTATGTAATTCGGGTGCGCAGATTCTGAATTTGATGGCAGTTTAGTGGTAGTAGTTTAAAATGCACGGGGGGTCCCGAGTGACAGGGTTTCGTACGATATAGGTTATTTGATCCGCATTTGAAACATTTTTATTTTCAGTGACCATGTATTGGGCAAAGGGAAAATTAGATCAATCGGAAACATGAACGCAACTATCCTCATGCCTCGTTTTTTGGGTCATTGAAACCGAATCCGGGAACCATTCAGTCCGGTCATGCCCCATTTTAGAGATACTGGAAAGAGTTCTGCTTTTCACAAACTAACAAAAATCAGGAATCTTTTTTTGTAGGTAAATCGGATGTATAGATACGTCCGACTTTCATAATTATGATGTTTGCGAAATATGAAATTCAACAAAACATAAAAAAATATTCACACCTTGAGTTGCCAATTTAACAACGCTCTAATGCCGGCTCTACACGTTGGCCCCAACGTTGGCCCCAACGCCACTCGCCCAACGTGTGTATCTAGAAAATAGCGTTGGCCTCAACGTTGGAGCGTCCGTAGTTGGCTGTCGATTGTCGGTTTTATCAAAGGAATCTGTGCCAACGTTGGCAATCCGTCCACATATTGGCTCACTGGCTCAGTCTTGTTGTAACACACGTCGAGTGCGTATGTGGAGATATGTCATCAACAACATCGCTACCCGCGTGGACAAACGAAAAAGTTGTATAATTTTTAGAGTTATACCAGGCGCATCCAATAATATGGAATGCCTCTCGCGCTTTTACAGTACTGATGAGTGCGTATAATATATATTTGTTATTGAAAAAAAAGAAAAAGCCACGTCAAAGGAGATGGTGGATGACAACGCATCATAAAACTCGGTACCAGTAAGTACAGACCATACACTCCATTCTAGCAGCTTTTTACAAGGCAATTTAATATTTTATTAAATTATATAATAATGTGTATACAGTGTGTCCAAGATAAGGATGTCTATCATGAGGATCTTGGAAAACAAAAGTGATACGAAGATGGTTAAATTTCAAGCCTAACAATATGCCGTTTAGAAAGCTTTAAAATCCCGAGTTGTTCCGGAGGTATGCCTAAAAAATGCTATTTAATACAGGGCATACTTTTTTACGCGCCATATAAAAAATAGAGTTGATGATGGTTTCTCCGAAACGAAACGTCGTGCGGCAAATCTCTCAACGCTGTTTTGTAGAGCTTAAAAAGTAGCCATAAGAAAGTGTCTCTTGTTTTTCCATATCTCTTTAAATAACGTCATAAAAAAATAAAAACGAAATCGGCAAATTTCGGTTTTACTTTTGTTTTCCAAGATCCTCATGATAGACATCCTTATCTTGGACACACTGTATACACATTATTAGATAATTTAATAAAAAATTGCCTTGTAAAAGCTGCTAGAATGGAGTGTATGGTCTGTACTTACTGGTACCGAGTTTTATGATGCGTTGTCATCCACCATCTCCTTTGACGTGGCTTTTCCTTTTTTGCAATAACAAATATAAATTATACGCACTCATCAGTACTGTAAAAGCGCTTAGAGCAATTTCGGTTTCGGTGTCGGACATCTTCACATTGGACGCTTCACCAACTTAACCGACCAACGTTGGTGCCAACGTTGGGGCCAACGTGTGGAGCCGGCCTAAACGATTACAAGCTTCAACATTTACCTCTTGGTATATGTTATCATTATTGTGTCATTCATAGAAGTAGTCTTGTCACCTGAATTGGATTTACTAGCCACGTGATCACTTGTTCATGGACCCTAATGAGCCTGTTTAAGGAATAAAATGGCTCCTCCATTAACAAAATGCGCAGGATTCCAGTACGTCGATCTCCTTCCACCTTAACGGACATGAATCCTTCCTTCTATCCGAAACAATCCGTAAATGGATTTAATAAACGTGATTTTCTGTAGCAGAGCAGCGCACAGACGAGGCTGTGCAAGGATAAAAGACTGAAAATCCTATCAGGCTGTCGTTGAATGCACAATAATTTCTGTGTGCTTTATTTTCTTTATTATTCGAGCTGTCTTTATCCGGCTACTTCGGTAATTTTCAAAGCTCAGCTCGCGTCGGCCGTATGAATCGAGCGCTAAATCTATCCGTCAGAAAACGGCTCGCTATTATATGTCGGCAGTAGGGGGAAGTGGGGCAGAACTTGCCCATTCCAAGATGTTTGCTTGTTCCGTCTGTTGCTTTTTATGGAATATATTGTATTTTATTACCAAATGGACTTCTTCTGCGGATAGCTATATGATACTGAAGTTCTGACAGTCCTTGATCTGCTTGCCCAGAAAAGATTTTGAATATACCACCCCCTCTGTGTTCACACAGTATGAAGACTATAGTTAGCTTCCAGCAGTTCAGTTGATCACAAAAGTTGATGATGGCATGGCGAAGAACATAACAGAATACATTAAAGGCTTACAAATTTCATTGATCAAAAACGTTTCCACCACAATATAAATAAAAAATAATCATATACATTGAAAGATTAATTCTTGGCGAATAAATTACGAGGGCGGTTCAGATATGGTGGAGACAAACGCTGTAGATGGCGCGTATGTATGTCTTGAAGGTCGTGGCTTGAGTATGTGATAGCTGCTTCCCTTACGAACACTGTGGCACAGCATTCGTTATAAGCGCATGTTTCACGCGCTTGCTAACGACCAGGAGTGAAGGTCAAGTGCCGACCGCCGTTGCGCAACGTATTGTCATTCGTTTTTTAGTTGGGAAGGCATTAAAAACACGGAATTTTTTCTGCGTTTGCGAAATTAGTTTTGTAGTGAGTGCCTGAGTAGGGCTGCAGTGTTTAAATGGGTCATAGCATTCAAGGATGGCCGCGAAACCGTCGAGAATGAGCCGCATGATCGTCAACCGCGAACCAGCATCACACCAGACAACATTCGCCGTACTGTACGTCAACTTCCTGAGCACCAAACGTTCCATCAATGCTGCATACTACTCTAACCTACTAAAAACACAGGTGAAACCCGCTTATCGCTCGAAATGGAGAAGTATTCCAGCAAGAAGTGCGATTCTTCTCCAGGAGAACGCGCGACCTCATGCTGGGCGTCCCACAATCGATACAATATCGAAATTGGGGTGGGAGATACTGGAACACCCCCCCCCCCCTATAGTCCGGATTTATCTCCGTGTGACTACTACATGTTTGGATCACTGACAGAAGCCCTCGGAGGTCAAAGATTCAACACTGACGAAGAGGTAGAAGAGTTCGTGCGCACATGACTGTCCGAGTTACCCAAGGAATTCTTCGATACCGACCTTAAAAAGCTTCCAGAAAGGTGGAAAAAAATGCGTAACTAGTGAGGGAACGTCCCTAGAAGAACTGTACACTTTTGTAAATTTTTTCGATAGTAAATAAACGTGTCAGACCATTTGTCTCGATCATATTTGAACCACCCTCGTATATAAAGCAATAAAATGGCAACTTATCTTTGCAAATTTCTTGCTTTATGGAAGGCTGAGAGGTTGGGGTAGCCTAGACTCGCAGATCTAAAAAGGAACGGTCCAATCGCAGATGTGGGCCAACACCAAGGCAAGGATCAAAATAAGGCTACATGTAAAGAAGCTAAAAAGTCAAGACTATGCCTTTAGTAAGGGCCAAGGAAAATTGCTCTCTTAGGTCCAAAAGAGAAGAGAGCCAAAGGGCTGCGTAAACAAGGTAGAGGGTAGAATAAGTCCAAAAAGGATGGTAGTCCCTAATCCGAAAAAGGACTGGGTGCGTTAGAAATACGTGCTCTACTAACAAAAGAACCTAAATAGAAGATACTTTGATACTTAGACATGCCTTTGACAAAATAAAATTTACAAGTCAGCAAAAAGCTTGAAATAAAACAATGGTTATTAAAATATCCAATGCTCCTGTGTATTTTTAAAAAAATATCAAGTCCACTTTTATCAGATGTAACATAATTGTTTCAAACGAAATATGAAAAATGAATTCGTATATAGAGGTAAAATCATCCTGTAAATATATTTGCACCATAATTTGTGCAAAATTATGGAGAGTGATTTGCAGATTTCATCGGTTCGCACCTCTTAACAAAGATTCGTAAAAAACGAAGAGCAAATGAAACCAAATATTTGCAAAATAAAGGCAAATAAAGCAGTTAAGTGAAATATGGGATTAAACTCGCCATTTTTTCCAATTCGACACACAGATTCTTGCCTTTGCATATAATGTCCTTTTGCGTTGTTTTGATGTAAAATAAAAAGTTCTAACCCGAAATAATTTTGTTCAGGAGTCAGCAGTCATGGAACCCACCTGACTAATGCCTTACCCATGTTCAAGTTGTCGTGCAAGATGGTTTTTACGCTGGGTTCCAATATAATCAATGCCATACTGATGGTAGCGACCTTCACATGACGATGTTCGAAAACCATGGCTTCAACTTTTTTGAGTCATTTCATTATTTGCTGCTGTTTTAGGTTTTCCACTTCGTCTTCTATGGATTTACGCCCCCATAAAAACTGTTTCAACCAAAATTTTGTAGTCCAATATAATGGTGCATTATCCTCATAGACAACCATTCTCTCCAGAGCTATTTTCGGCTGATGGCCCTATTTTGACATAAATTTTGTCACACATGCCACTATTTGACATATTATGCTTATGCGTTTCAATTGTGTTTTTCATGTCTAGGTAGATTTCTTTTCTAGTGTCCCTCGTACCAACCTTGGTGAAAAGAAATGGTGCCTGTTAAAGCTAACTGCTCAATTTATATGTCTAATAACTCTTCTGTTTTCTTTTATGACTGTGGCAAGGCTATAGATGGCGGTTAGTATATCCACCCGCTATTTCAAGAACTTGTATAACAATATTTTTTGAAGAGTTCTATATCACTGGTGCCGAGCTCCCCCAAGGATTTTCGTTAGAAAAGAGCGCCATTATGTGACCTGTACTGTGTATTTTCAGCGCAGCCGGGGCCTTTATTCCTTTATCTCGCCTTTCAACGTTTTCAGGAACTTTCTCATTTGTTCAGGTTATTCATTAACGAACTTGTGTTATATACTCTCATGCTTTATCAGTTCCTGAAAAGTTTAATAAAAGCCCTGAGCGATGCGTATGAAAGAGACGGAGAGGAAAATTCGTCGTATTGTCCGGAAAATAGGGATTTCCTTTCACAGAATTAGAAATGATTGCTTTGTAAGGTGGATTTCTAAATAAGTTTTTTGATATCAAACAATTGTTTATATGTGCAGGCAATAATTATATAGCTAATACGTAAGCTGAAGGAAAATACTGAAATACTGGACATTAAGCCTAGTGAAACTAGACAGCTTTGGACCATGGCAAAATGTTTATTGGCTGGATGAGTAGTGCAGGTTTTTGTTAAACAATAATTTTTCAGATTCACGAAACATGGATCTAACGTTTGTTCAACGTGATCTACAGGGTGAGCTTTTAGCGAATGGGCTTTGTTATGCATGATACCTGAAAAAATTTATGCTGCTGACTGGGAAATATCTTTATCTATATAGGATATGGTATTTTTTTTCTATCAACACTACCCAACTTGGCTGGGCCTCACGTCACTAACCCGCCATTAACGTTTATGCCTGGAATCCCTAACTGATTCATAGATATTTGTCTTCATTGGCTGGTTGTTACCTAAAATGCAATAAGAGTATTGATTATTAGGCACAGAAATTAGACAAATATTTCTTCGGTTGAAAGTCTGCGTCTGTCTGTACATTCCATGTATCTCTAAGAAACAACACTACCTAAACTCTCAAGTTGACATCGGATCCCTGAAGCCAATACAAAAACATAACTACACAGCCACATGATATGTGTAACATAATCTTAAACTCCACTATATCGTCATTGGCCTCTGTTTGACGTCATCAACGTCATTTTCCGACCAACGATTTGAACAGGATTCTTAGAACATTGCCCTACTTGGCTGAGCACTCACGTCATTCATTGGCAATTTTGTCATTCATATATATGTGTTTTCATTAATTGGTCGTAAGGTACCTTAAATGAATGATAATACTTTTGTTAAATATTGAAGGAAATGTAATTGTTTTTTATAAAAATGCTGTTTGGCTACCTGTTTTTTTCTGTATGCCCATCCCGTATTTCTCTTATAGCCCAAGCAATAGGTAGGTTATCTTCTTACAATTTTGGCGCCAGTAATTTTTTTGCTGGTATCATTAGATTATTGCTTATACAGGGTGTCCCGAAAAAACTGTGCAATATTTTACCAGCTGTTTCTAGAGCTTAAAATAGGAAGAAAAGTTCATATATACATAGGTCAACAAAGGTCCCCTAAGGGCGCTACGGTCTTTTAAAGGGGCCCTGAAGATGGTTTCTCCTTAATATTTTCCAAACGTGTTGAGATAAAGACATAAAATTTGGTATTCTAGCCTAGTTTTTTATGCTGGATTTAAAAATAAGAACAATTTTAGACAGGTTTGTTTGGAAGATATGTAACAGGGACGGACTCAGGTTATTTTAGCCCCAACATTTTTGTGTGATTCTATTTTTGAAATTCAATCTTATATGTAGAATTTGAAAATTTAGGGCTTTCTACATAAAAAAGGTACTCTTATTGAATATAGGTAAATTATGCCATTTTTGAATAAAATCAAACTAAAAAATTTGTCACATAATAGGAAATGTACTGCACAAACAAAACTGTCTAAAATTGTTCTTATTTTTCAATCCAGCATAAAAAACTAGGCTAGAATACCAAATTTTATGTCTTTATCTCATCACGTTTCGAAAATATTAAGGAAAAACGTTTGTCGACCTATGTTTATATGAACTTTTCTTCCTATTTTAAGCTCTAGAAACCGCTGGTAGAATATTGCACACTTTTTTCGAGACACCCTATATACCTAATTGTAAGGAAAGCTCTTGATAGCAAAGACGATGGATACCAAGACATTCAGGTCTGAAAAGTAAACAAGAATAGCCTTTATGCTTTAGTGGGACTGTGCGTTGTACAATGGTCATTGCAAATTGTGTCGCCACATGAGCAGGCTGGGCATTGCGGAAGATGTTGAAGGCAGCTGTGTATGGAGGGAGACGAAACAGGACGAAACAGTTAAGCACGTTTTATGCAGATGCCCTGCGAATGCCAGTGACAGGTTCTATATATTTATAGGGGGGGGGCAGTACCTCCAAGTAAAAGACCTGAAAGGTATTTCTTCAAATAAGTTGACCCACTTCGTCAGGATTTCGAAATTACTGAGAGAAATGTAAATAGTTGTAAGCCACAATAGACCAGCAAATCGCAATGAGGGATCGTGATTGACTGACTCTCAAAAAACCTGACCTAAATTATTGCTTTCTAATAATAGGTTTTGTCATCATTCTGTAGAAAGTAATACAAAAGTACACAAAATCTACGCATTTCTTGGCCCGTTAGTCTATACTCCGGTCTGCCAAATGAAGTTATATAGCTGTCAGCGAGGTGTTATTGACGCGGCTCGTGGTCTGCGGGCCACATTCGAAGAGCGTTTTTGGGTCGCATTCCCAACTGATTGATGGACACGCAGCCTCCGACTGTTCTACACTATTCTTACAGTGACAGAGTGACAAACGCTCCAACAACTCTTTAGCGCGAACGAAACGGCGCTTATTTATTTATTTCTGAGCGATGGGAATTCGAGACATGGCACGTTTAACTGTAGCTGAGAAATGAGTAAAACCACATATATAATCATACGAGAAACCTTACTTTCGTGTTGGCTGTTTCAATTGTCTTTTACCGAGTCTTTTTCAAAGTATGTAGACTTCAAAAGACACAAAAAGCGTCATTTTTTTGGGTTAAATGTTTAATTACTGATACACAGAACATATTTATGAATCGTGAATCTATAAGGAACAGTTTGTTATTATGTTGCAGCTTCAAAATATAGCATTATGAAGTTCAGATTACTTATGAGAAAATTCACTGTATGGGGAAGTGAGACAATTTATTCGCCATCATTGTCCAAAATGATGTGGTTTTAGTAGCAGATACAAAGAAACTACATGGTGCGGCATCACTTTTTGCATCAAAAGCCTTTGCGTTCACTTGAAGTCACAGTGTGGCGTGCAATTTCCTCAGCTGGAAAGTCGAAGTGACAGAAAATTCCAACCGGTACGTAAACATGCTAGAGTCATTTTCCGACGGCTAGATAAGTTGGACTTGGGGGACATTTCGTTAAAATAAGATGGTGCAACGGCACACATTTCACGAGCATCGATGACTGTTTTGAAGGAACACTTC